AGGGGGTTAGGAGACTCTACAGCAGACTTGGGGGCCCTGTAGAGGGTGAGGTTTCTGAAGAAAGCTGGGCACTGTGAGACACTGTTGGAGGTTGTAGCACTAAGGAAGGCTAAAGGCTGTACAACACCATGGAAGGCTTGATGGCACTGTGGGGATTTGGGAGTTCTGGAGTTCTGGAGGGAATTAGAAGGCTCTGCGGCAGATTTGGTGGTCCTGTAAAAGATGAGGTTTCTGATGGAAGCAGGTCCACACTGTGAAACACTGTTGGAGGTTGGGGCCACTATGCAGGGGTGTTGGCTCTGCAATTCTGTGGGAGGGTGGGGGGCAATGTTGATGGCTTGGTGGCACTGTGAGAGGATGAGAGCTCTAGATTAGGTTAGAAGACTCTGCAGCAGACTTGTTGGCCCTGTAGAGGATGAGGTTTATGAAGAAAGCTGGGCACTGTGAGACAGTGTTGGAAGCTGGGGGCACTAGGGGTAGAGGGCAATGTTGAAGGCATGGTGGCACTGTGGGGGGATGAGAGTTCTGGATGGGGTTAGGAGACTCTACAGCAGACTTGGGGATCCTGTAGAGGGTGAGGTTTCTGAAGAAAGCTGGGCACTGTGAGACACAGTTGGAGGTTGCAGCACTAAGGAAGGCCAAAGGCTCTACAACACCGTGGAAGGCTGTGAGGCACTTTGGAAGGCTTGAGGGCACTGCAGGGATTTGGGAGTTCTGGAGCGAATTAGAAGGCTCTGCAGCAGATTTGGTGGTCCTGTAAAAAAAATGAGGTTTCTGATGGTAGCTGGTCTGCACTGTGAGACACTGTTGGAGGTTGGGGCCACTATGGAGGGTTGTTGTCTCTGCACTTCTGTGGGAGGGTGGGGGGCAATGTTGATGGCTTGGCGGCACTGTGAGAGAATGAGAGCTCTAGAGTGGGTTAGAAACTCTGCAGCAGACTTGGTGGCCCTGTAGAGGATGAGGTTTATGAAGAAAGCTGGGCACTGTGAGACAGTGTTGGAAGCTGGGGGCACTATGGAGGGCTGTAGGCTCTAAACACTGTGGGAGACTGGAGGACACTGTGGAAGGTTTGGTGGCCCTGTGGGGATTTGGGAGTTCTGGAGGGAATTAGAAGGCTCTGCAGCAGACTTGGTGGCCCTGTAGAGGATGAGGTTTCTGAAGAAAGCTGGGCAGTATTGTGAGACACTGTTGGAAGTTGGGGGCACTATGGAAGTCTGTAGGCTCTACAATACTATGGAAGGCTGGGACGGAGGGTACTGTGGAAGGTTTGGCCGCACTGTGGAGGCTAAGGGTACCTTGGGCACTATGGGTCACTATGTGAGGTTGGGGGCACCATGAAAGCTGAGAGACACTGTAGGAGGCTAAAGGATCTGCTGTTGGTTGGAGAATGTAGGCCATAGGCCAGCGCTCGAGAACCACTTGATATCATACTGTACCCAGCCAGCTTTAATCTTCCATAATGTATTGCTCTGATATAACTTGTTTTCAGCTATTAGCTCTGTAAATCGTTATGCATTAAAGCATAGCTCAAGGAAAAATCATGACTTATTGAAGAAACGCTGAATGTCATAACAGATACAGAGAAGGTTTATCCATTCAGTTTCATCCCCGCAGATTCATCTTCAATAATATGTGTATGCCCTTTATAATGAGTGTCAAATGTTCATTTCCCTGCCAGGCTGGTGCCGAGCGGTGACAGAAGTGACAAGGCACTCATCTCTTCCCATAGCCATACTTGTGGAACATCCGTCCTGCACACAGAGGCTTTACAACTCATAGCTCCAGGATAGCTCATAGGCATTTATTTAGAGCTTGTAGGTTTTTTGTTCTTTTATCACATACAGTAAAACCTTGATTTAAGTGACACCGCCAACAGGCTCAGACAGTACCAGAGTATTAAACCAATTAGATTTCATTTTACTGAACGCACTTCAATAGAAGATGATTTCCCAATCACCGCTCAGCACCTGGAAGTTACGGTTTTCATTAATCTGAAACTTTATTAACTTTTCTGCTTATCCTCTCACAAACCTCCCTGTTTTGTTTAATCATTGGTCGTATATTACGGAGAGGAGAGGAGTAGGGAAGGGAGCAGGAGAGTAGAGGAGGGGGGAGAGGAGAGGTGAAGAGAAAGGCAGTGAGGTGAGAAGAGACGAGAGGAGGAGAAAGACAAAGAGGTGAAGAGAGAAGAGGAGAGAGCAGGAGAGGAGAGAAGAAGAGGAGAAAAGGGAGAAGAGGAGGGGAAAGGCAAAGAGGTGAGGCAAGAAGAGGATAAGAAAGGTGAGGAAAGCAGAGGAGAGGATAGATGAAGAAAGGATGGGAGGAGAGGAGAGGGGAGGGAAGAAGTGAGGAGAGGACAAAGGCAATGAGGTGACAAGCGATGAGAAGAGGAGAAGAGAGTAGGGGAGAAAGACAAAGAGGTGAGAAGAGGAGAGGGCAGGGTAGGGGAGGAAAGCAGAGGAGAGGAGAGACACAGAAAAGCAAAGAGGAGAGAGAGGAAAGGAGGGGGAGGAGAGGAGAGGACAAAGGCAATGAGGTGAGAAGAGATGAGAAGAAGAGAAGAGAGGAGAGAAAGACAAAGTGGTGAGGAGAGAAGAGGAGAAGGCAGAGGAGGAGAGGAGAGAAGCAGAGGAGAAGAAAGGGAAGAAGAGGAGGGGAAAGGCAAAGAGGTCAGGCAAGAAGAAGATAAGAAAGGTGAGGAAAGCAGAGGAGAGGAGAGGAGAGATGAAGAAAGGATGGGAGGAGATGGGAGGGGAGAAGAGAGGAGAGGACAAAGGCAATGAGGTGAAAAGCGATGAGAAGAGGAGAAGAGAGTAGGGGAGAAAGACAAAGAGGTGAGAAGAGGAGAGGGCAGGGTAGGGGAGGAAAGCAGAGGAGAGGAGAGATACAGAAAAGCAAAGAGGAGAGAGAGGGAAAGGAGGGGAGGAGAGGACAAAGGCAATGAGGTGAGAAGAGATGAGAAGAAGAGAAGAGAGGAGAGAAAGAGAAAGACAAAGTGGAGGAGAGAAGAGGAGAAGGCAGAGGAGGAGAGGAGAGCAGAGGAGATGAGAGATGGAGAAAAGCAAAGAGGAGAGAGGGAGAAAGGATGGGAGGAGAGAGTAGAAGGGAGGGGAGAAGAGAAGAGAAGACAAAGGCAATGAGGTGAGAAGAGAAGAGAGGAGATAAAGATAAAGAGGTGAAGAGAGAAGAGGAGAGGGCAGGGAAAGAGAGGAAAGCAGAGGAGAGGAGAGACACAGAAAAGCAAAGAGGGGAGGAGAAAGAGTGAAAGGCAGGGAGGGGAGGAGTGAGGCAAGGAGAGGAGAGGACAATGGCAATCAGGTGAGAAGAGAAAAGAAGAAGAGAAGAGAGGATAGGAAGAGAAATACAAAGTGGTGAGGAGAGCAGAGGAGAGGAGAGATGGAGAAAAGCAAAGAGGAGAGGAGAGAGATAGAAAGGACAGGATGGGAGGAGAGCAGAGGCAAGGAGAGGAGAGAGAGGAGAGAGGCAGTGAGGTGAGAAGATGAGAGAGGAGGAGAACAACAAAAAGGTGAGGAGAGAAGAGGAGAGCAGGGGAGGAGAGACAGAGAAAAGGGGAGAGGAGAGGAGAGGAGTGAGTCAAGGAGAAGGAAGGAAGGATTTTATACAAGGCATACACACCAGTGAGGAGGACCTGAATAAGAGTTACCCCCACCTCCCTGGTTCAGTCATCCCCGGTGTATATAGAAGTATATTTTCTTTATTAAACAAAAACATAAATGTGACACAAATACTGAAGGTGGCATTTGTTTTACATTAATTTCGCATTATGCTAATGCACATCTGCCTGATGCCTGATTTGCATGATACAGTCAAGCACGTCCTTTGTAGGAAATTGGGATTATCTCAATGCTTTTGTAATTGCAAGACATTTGGGGAAATCGATCAATTAGATTATTTGTTGCGCTCCGGAAGAGAAGACAGATAGATCTGTTCAACACATGCAAAACAAAAGGAGATGGGATCTGCGTTTTACTTCGAAGAACAAAGCTTGGAGCATTAGTTGGTTTTATTACGGCGTGTAGACAGGTAGGAAGAATGGATTCACAACTCGTCAACAAGTCCTCTGGATTCAGTTTCGGCTTCAATTATATGGGAACAATAAATCAGTCCTGGAGATGTGGAAGGTGTGGAGAAGCTGAGGGCACCATGCTTCGCATCTGATGGTCCTGAAAACATATCTAACCTTTTTCGCAGTCTATCCTCGACTTGCATACCACGGTCACTGGTGTTAACTATCTAGTAAAAGTTCTACCAGTAGAGAGAAATAACCTTAGTAGACCTTTCTTGGTCACCTTAAGGCAGTGTTTTCTCAACTCCAGTCCTCATAGACCCCCAACAGGTCATGTTTTCAGGATTTCCATTATTTTGCACAGGTGATTTGATCAGTTTCACTGCCTTAGTAATTACCACAGCTGTTTCATCTTAGGGAAATCCTGAAAACATGACCTGTTGGGGGTCCATGAGGACTGGAGTTGAGAAACACTGCCTTAAGGGAATGAGGGACAATGAAGAGGAGAGCAACTTCTGGGGTTGTGGGGCAGTTTACACCGATGACCTTGGTATAGATCTCTGATCCCCAGACACTGAAGGTCTGGATCCACTCCCATTACATTTGACTGGACTGCCATACTGAATCTCATTATGGGAATGGAAGAACTGAGGCCACATTGCATGGCAGGTGTACCAATTTCACCAACACCTGGAGAACTTGGATTACGTTTTCTTCCTCCGTTCCCTTCCTTTTCTCCTACTACTAAAATAAACCAAATTTCGTTAGCTTTTTCTGATTCATTCCGATCGGTTGCTATGTCCATTCAGAAATTTTTATACATCTAAATCTCCAAAAATAAGATTTTTGTCCTAAAATATTAATTTGCACAAACCAACTCGCACATGTCTAGTTGCGCTGAAGTGCTGGGAGGTGATGTGGGTCTTCTTCTTGTTGCAGATGATGTTGCCGACCAGCTCAAGGATCTCATCTGTCAGATACTTGAGGAAGGTGGCCAGATAGACAGAAGCTTCAACCCCATCCCATAGTTTTTCCTTCCTGAACAGACGGTGGCCATGGCCAACTGGGAACTGAGCGGGTCTTGCTCTTAGCACAAGCCTTGATTACATCCAGACATTGTGATTACTAACTCATCACTCAAACTCCAAAATATATATATATATATGGGAATATTAAATCACTTAGATAAATCAATGAACGCTCTTTGTGGTTTCGTTAGAAATGGGAAGACATTTAGGAAGAGAGTATTTTGTATCTTCTGGAGAGCTCCATGTTGGAGGGACAGATGACACATTAGAAGGTTATGTAAGGTTAAATGGCTTCTTGTAACAATACCTGTAGATGTACTTGAGCTGAAGGATCCGTAATTACCTCCAAGCAGTTGTCAGGCTCCATGTGTGGGTTGCAGCGAGGGGCCGCTCTTGCATCAATTTGCAGAGTGTGTGCCGGCTAATTTATTGTGCAGATTATACAGCAGCTGAAAACTAACCAGCTATGGGCCCAACATTGTACAGACGGCTGTTTTCCCTAACAAACCAAAAGCCAATCATTTCATTTTTTTTATTTTTATCTTCCTGAAACATTCGGTCATATGCAAAAATAAAGAGAAAGGTTAAGTACTCCTATGGTATGATACTACTGCAAGGGTACGCTTGGCAATGGGCCACTCTTCCACCTAAACGGAAAAAAAAAATCAAAGTTGAACTCCAGGCAGATGTAAAAGTAAAAATTGAATGTAAATCTGTAATTATTTATACATCATTAATTGCATTTTTTTTTAAATTTAAGCATCATTCAACCCATAGCAAAAGGGTTGAATGATGGAGTAGAGGCAGCGAGGATCCAGTGTAATGAGTCTATGGGGACATTTATTTATTTCAGGTACTTATATAGCACCATCAATGTATGCAGTGCTTTATATATATATATTGTACATTCACATCAGGGGCGTACAATCTAAGGTCCCTAATTCACATTCATACAAACACATATTAGGGCCAATTTAGACAGGAGCCAATTCACCTACCAGCATGTCTTTAGAGTGTGGGAGGAAACCCACACAGGTACAGGGAGAACATTCAAACTCCAGGCAGGTGGTGCTGTGGTTGGGATTTGAACCCACAACCTGAGTACTGCCAAGTGGAAGTGCTAACTACTTAGCCACTGTGCTGCCCTACATCACCAGAGACCGGGTGAGTATAGCAGCTGGAGCTTTACATTGGTTCCAATGTTAGACCTGGGCATTAAAAATGGTGAAATTATGAGGGGGGGGGGGGGTTACTAAAACTGCAAAATCTGGTGCAGCTGTGCATGGCAGCCAATCAGCTTCTAATTTGTTCAATCCCAGATTGTAAGCTCGAAAGAGCAGAGCCCTCGATCCCCTCGTGTATTGTATTGTTACTGTCTTGTCTCATGTCCTGTTCCCCACTATAATGTACAGAGCTGAGCAAACCTTTCTGGCACTATATAAATACTGTATAATAATAAATAATAATGATGATGATGATGAAGCTTTGACAATAAAACCTGGAAGCTGATTGGTTTGTATGCACAGCCGCAGCAGATTCTGCACCCTCCAGTTCTAATAAATCTCCCCCTGCGTCTATTTTTTAATTTATTTTAATACATTCTATAAAATGTATATATTTTTTTACATTTCCTTGCATGTATAATTCAAAGGGGCTGCACGTTTGGCATTTATTAAAATAAGCATTTGAAAGCAAAACAGAACCCTTTTATATGGTACCTGATCAAAAGTCCCGCTATGTATAAAGCAGCATGGAGGTAATGTATTCTGCCTTAATATGACAGCTGTGTGAATTCAGGCTCATAACACGCCGTCCATAGGTAACGCCGGCCTTCGTCAGAGATTCAATACACAGCCCAACCGATACACATCTTCAGGGGATTATTCAGAGTTTGGACTGGAAAATACGATGTGCGGCGTGATGGCGAGTCAGAGGGGAGAGCTATCATTTATTGATGGTTAGTGGTGACAAACAAAGCTGTCATTCGTAAAAGGAGGTATAATCCTTGTGGATACAGTAATATATATATATACACACAGTATCTCCCAGAAGTGAGTCCACCCCTCCCCCGAACTGTGTACAATATATATATATACACACAGTATCTCCCAGAAGTGAGTCCCCCCTCCCCCGAACTGTGTACAATATATATATATATACACACAGTATCTCCCAGAAGTGAGTCCCCCCTCCCCCGAACTGTGTACAATATATATATATATATATATACACACAGTATCTCCCAGAAGTGAGTCCCCCCCTCCCCCGGACTGTATACAATGTATATATATATATATATACAGCATCTCCCAGAAGTGAGTCCACCCCTCCCCTGGACTGTATACAATGTATATATATATATATATATATATATATATATATATATACAGTATCTCCCAGAAGTGAGTCCACCCCTCCCCCGGACTGTATACAATGTATATATATATATATCCAGTATCTCCCAGAAGTGAGTCCACCCCTCCCCCGGACTGTATACAATGTATATATATATATATATATATATACACAGTATCTCCCAGAAGTGAGTCCCCCCTCCCCCGGACTGTATACAATGTGTATATACATACAGTGTCTCTCAGAAGTGAGTCCACCCCTCCCCGGACTGTATACAATGTATATATATAATATATATATATATAGTATCTCCCAGAAGTGAGTCCACCCCTCCCCCAGACTGTATAAAATGTGTATGTATATATATATATATATATATATATATATATATATATATATATATAGTATCTCCCAGAAGTGAGTCCCCCCCTCCCCCGGACTGTATACAATGTGTATATATATATATATATATATATATATATATATATATATATATATAGAAGTAAGTCCCCCCCACCTCACGTTTTTGACAATATTTGACTCTCTCTTTTCATGTGACAACACTGAAGAAATGACACTTTGCTACAATGTGACGTAGTCAGTGTACGGCTTGTATAACATGTAGATTTGCTGTCCCCAAACTGAGCAGAGTAATACAATGTTACCGTAGCTCTATTGCCTGCTTGGGACTCGGTTCAGGTGCTTATATGCAAATCTGGAGGAACTTCAAGTTGAGCGCTCCAACGCCATATTCGGGCCCCAACATTCTCTGGTCCATTTGTTCATCACCGACTGTATACCGTCTAACATATTTGTGTGAGGGGTTATTGCAGTTTCCATTTCTTTGGTTGCTATATTACTGTACATATTTCTGCAATAAATACCCCTGGTGATCGTGGAGCCACTAGCAGAGGCATGGGCACTGGAAGCAGGGGACCCGAGAAACAGCTCCTCCTTTAGGGGTAAGCACTACAGGAAGGTCGCTAAGATTGATATCCAGGTTTTTGGTCAACTCCGCATATCATTGGCTTTAAAATATTGGTAACAATGGGGTGGAACTCACAGTTCTGGTGGGCTTGCCTCTCCGGTGGACTTCCCAACAGATGTAAAAATCTGGAGGAACTTTGTGTTGAGCGCTCCAACACCATATTTGGGCCCCAACATTCTCTGGTCCATTTGTTCATCACCGACTGTATACCGTCTAACATATTTGTGTGAGGGGATATTGCAGTTTCCATTTCTTTAGTTGCTATATTACTGTACATATTGCTGCAAAAATATCCCTGGTGATCGTGGAGCCACGAGCAGAGGCATGGGCACTGGAAGCAGGGGACCCGAGAAAACAGCTCCTCCTTTGGGGGTAAGCAGGAAGGTCGCTGAGATTGATATCCAGGTTTTTGGTCAAGTCCGCATATCATTGGCTTTAAGATATTGGTAACAATGGGATGGAACTCACAGTTCTGGTGGGCTTGCCTCTCCAGTGGACTTCCCAACAGATGTAAAAATCTGGAGGAACCTCACGTTAAGCGCTCCAACACCATATTCGGGCCCCAACATTCTCTGGTCCATTTATTCATCACCGACTGTATGCTCTTTTTTTCTACTGTCTTACATATTTGTGTGAGGGGTTATTGCAGTTTCCATTTCTTTGGTTGCTATATTAATGTACATATTTCTGCAATTAATATCCCTGGTGATCGTGGAGCCACTAGCAGAGGCATGGGCACTGGAAGCAAGGGACCCGAGAAACAGCTCCTCCTTTGGGGGTAAGGACTACAGGAAGGTCGCTGAGATTGATATCCAGGTTTTTGGTCAAGTCCGCATATCATTGGCTTTAAGATATTGGTAACAATGGGATGGAACTCACAGTTCTGGTGGGCTTGCCTCTCCAGTGGACTTCCCAACAGATGTAAAAATCTGGAGGAACCTCACGTTAAGCGCTCCAACACCATATTCGGGCCCCAACATTCTCTGGTCCATTTATTCATCACCGACTGTATGCTCTTTTTTTCTACTGTCTTACATATTTGTGTGAGGGGTTATTGCAGTTTCCATTTCTTTGGTTGCTATATTAATGTACATATTTCTGCAATTAATATCCCTGGTGATCGTGGAGCCACTAGCAGAGGCATGGGCACTGGAAGCAAGGGACCCGAGAAACAGCTCCTCCTTTGGGGGTAAGGACTACAGGAAGGTCGCTGAGATTGATATCCAGGTTTTTGGTCAAGTCCGCATATCATTGGCTTTAAGATATTGGTAACAATGGGATGGAACTCACAGTTCTGGTGGACTTGCCTCTCCAGTGGACTTCCCAACAGATGTAAAAATCTGGAGGAACCTCACGTTAAGCGCTCCAACACCATATTCGGGCCCCAACATTCTCTGGTCCATTTATTCATCACCGACTGTATGCTCTTTTTTTCTACTGTCTTACATATTTGTGTGAGGGGTTATTGCAGTTTCCATTTCTTTGGTTGCTATATTAATGTACATATTTCTGCAATTAATATCCCTGGTGATCGTGGAGCCACTAGCAGAGGCATGGGCACTGGAAGCAAGGGACCCGAGAAACAGCTCCTCCTTTGGGGGTAAGGACTACAGGAAGGTCGCTGAGATTGATATCCAGGTTTTTGGCCAAGTCCACATATCATTGGCTTTAAGATATTGGTAACAA